CTTTCCATGTATTGCCCAACATATAAAAGTATTCAGTAAATATTACTGAATAAATGTATTCCTCTCTACCAATTGTTAAAGATGTCCAGTATTTATTACCTTGCAGTTCTTTCTCAGTGAACATGACCCCCTATAAACAAACCTATCTTCCTTTCTCTTTCATACCAGGGATTGAACCCAGAGGTGCTTTACCACTGACATGTATTCTCAGTCCTTTTTATTGTTTATTTAGAGACAGGGTCTTGCTCAGTGGCTAAGGCCAGCCTTCAACTTGGTAATCTCCCTGCTTCAGCCTTCTGAGTAGTTGGGATTACAGGTATATGCCACCACACCTAGCTAAACCTATATTTCTTCAAGATGATTACTGGATCAAAAGGTAGGAAGGATATATAAATTTTTCCCTTACTTTGTGATTATATGTATTTTTCCTGATTTTAAGAGAAGAACAGCTCATCTCTCTTTTGATGACTTCACTTTCTGATCCCTGAACCAGACTGAGAAGTTTCACTTAGCTCTTTCTCACTCCAGGACTCAATACAGAAGGTTAGTTCATCTCTTTGGGTCACAAAGACTTTAACTGCAAATGAAGGTAGGGGCTAGATGTTTATAAGGCACTACAGGATAATCTACCCTCATTCTTCTGTCTGTCAAGCGCTTCCAGAAAATCATGTTGCTTCAATTGACTAGGTGTTTCACATCTTGTTAAATGACTGTAAAGTGAAACCTTTTACCATTAATGTTTAATGAACATAAGGGAATGCCAGACACAATTCATTTGTTAAACACCACCATTTGCAAAGAATTTTAAGTAGTTAACCGGGTCTTGGAGATAAAAGACAGATTTGCCTGATATGGTAATCAGGTAGGAATTTTTTTTTTTTCTGGGAAGGATGATTATGTACCTAGATACCTGTCATCCTCCTTTGTAGAGGAAATGAATGCTCACAGTAGGAAGACCAGTGATGGACCTGGGTGTTCAGAATTTCTTAATAGAAAAGGAAAGTTGCATTTGAACAGAGATTCTGAACTTTCTAGCCACTTTTGCTATTTTTGAAAGGATAATTTTCTGTTATGGAGTGGCCATGCATTATAGGGCATTTATCAGTAGCCCTGATCTGTAACCACTAGGTTCCAGTAGTATTCCTTCCCCAGGTATTTACAGCCAAAGTATTTTTCAATCTTTGCCAAATGTGCAATGGTGGTAGGAGGAAATTTCCCCCTGGTGAGAGCTAATGAATTTATAGGTCTGGGTTTATCTTTGACCTACTCACTAGTCTTCTGATAGAAGTAACTGTCTAAGCTCCATTTCCTCCTCCTAGATATTATAAGTTAAACATTCACTGTGAGAAGGAAATGAGACAATATATTTGTTATTTAGTATGATACCGTGTTTGCGCTCAGCACATGTGTTTTGCTGTTACCATGACTATGTCATTTATCTTTTTGTTATTATTGACATGGGTATTTCCTCATAGCTCTTATCAGAAGAAAATAGTATAAAAACCTACAAAACAAAAATGCATTTGAAATTCCCTTTGATAGACATCCAATGTTCTTAGTCACATGACTGCTTTCCCTAAGACTACCCATAATATGCTTCCTGCTCTTCAACTGCAGATTCCCTACATATTTCTCTTCGTATATTTTAAGGATAGCATTAAAAAAAAAAGCTAATGTTCTTAAAATATTTGGTTCCTAATTAATAGACTTAATATCTATTCTCCATCACTATTTTGTCTCAAAACTTACATCATGGAAAATTGCAGTCAAATTGATATTTGCTTCCTGGAATAAAATTGTGAGCAAAGGGTATCAGCATGTAATTCACCAAAGAGGAAATTTGACTAGAAATATGTGGACAGAGATTATGCTTCACTCTCAAAGAAATGCAAATCTCAAAGAATGCCATTTCCTACTATTAAATTAGCAAAGGAAATGTTGATAGAGATATAACAAAACCAGCAGTGACCCACATTGCCTTCTAGCACTGAAACTGACATGCTTTGGGGGAAGAAACTCATCACAATCTGATCTTGTTAAGGAGACCTGCTCAGGTAGCCCTTGAGCCTATGCTGGCAATATGCAGAATGCAATGTCTCTGTGCACATATCTCTTCAATGTACCTTGCTCTCATTTTGTTGGCATACTTAAATGCCTTTTCTTCATACATATTTTCTTTCTGGAGTCCCAATTCCTGCTTAGCAATTCATCCTGATAATTTCTTGGGATGATCTTAGATAATCAAAACACTTCTGTCTCTGAGACATAGAGGAGAATGAAACCCCAAAATATTCATCTTTGAAATAAGGATTATTTTGGGTTAAGGTCATAGAGACCCAGAATAGGTAGTAAAAGCTCTCCAAATAGGCTTTTTTTTGGTAAAGGAAATTTCCTTTACCAAAAAAGAGAAAAAAATCACTTAAGCCTTCATATGAATGCTTAATTACAACTCTTACATTCCATATTTTTCCTGGTCACTGTTCCATAACTTGCTTCCCCAACCTGGAAGTTGGAAATACCTCTTTTTCTTTAGCCTAAGCTGGTATATAAGCCTAAATTACAAATACCCCTTTGAGTTATCCATTTCTGGGTATTCTATATTACACTCCTAATACCCATGTTAACACACCTCTGCTTTTTCTCTTGTTAATCTGCCTTTTGCTATAGAGTTCAGCAGAGAACCTAGAAGAATAGAAGTTAAAAAATGTTTTTCCCCCTATCCTCTTCTTAGGCAACAATGGTATGAATACAAAAAGACACCATCCTCACTCTTGAGCCCTGAGGATATAATCTAGTTGAGACTCTTCCCATTTTGTGTGTTCATACACAACATAGGGCTCTGTGGGCTGGAGAGGAAATAAAATCATATTCACTCAACATCTTCTAAGTGTTGGAAACCTGCAGCTAATCACTTCCTTCTTGTAATTCCAATGAAATGAGGGCAGGAGAGAGGATGCAAATGAAGATTTTAGCATTGGTGAAAAGAGCCTGGATGTCTACCAGGATGGGGATGGATGAGAGGGGTTGTGAAGTGTTCACTCATGGACCATTAATGAAATCATCCCAATTCAGTTTGTGGCAATCATGCAGGAGACAAAAGATGCTATCAGCACTTATTAGATAAAAAAGAAGAGTCACAACCAAACTCTGTTAAATACATGGCTATGAACAAAGACTCTTCTTGACCTGACTTGCTTCAATCGGGCCTCACCTTTACGCTATAAAAACTGTATCCCCTCAACACAAGTGCTTTCATACCCCTATTGCTCCACCCCACACTAAAAGACCTGAACAAAGACTGACTTAGTTTCCGACAGCTCAAGGCTGCATCCCTAGAATGACCATAGCCCCCCTTCAAGTGCCTGCTGAAAAACAAAGCAACATCAAACTCAAGGCCCACACCTGAAGATAATGCTAAGTTCCTATCTAAAACATTTACAGGAAGCTTTATGGTTATAAATGTCTCTTACATCTCAGAAAGTATCTTTCATAAGCACCTACAAAACATTCCTTTGAAATATCCTCATCAGGAAGGACGGGGGCTCTGCCCCCAAGTCTTCCTGGGAGCATGGTATCCTGATTTCAGTAATTGCCAGCCAGAAGACAACCACTGCCCAACTGCACATACACACTGATCCACCCTGAGCACTTTGTTTCTTCCCTAGCTCTAAGCCCTCACTTGTCCCCCTTTCTGCTCTCATTCTCCCTTTAAAAGGCCAAGTCACCTTGTATATACCGAATATGTGCACAATGGGCCCCCTTCCTCATCACTGTGGTACATTACTGATTAAAATCCATCCCTGTTGCTGTCACATGTGTCCAGACTTGTTTATCTTTGATGGGACTAGTTGCTAAGGAACTGTACCCCTCCATCACTGTGGTTGTTTAAGGTGCTTGGATTATACTCATTAGAAATCATTAGCAAAAGTGTTCTCTGAAAAGAACAAGCCCTGCCCATTCCCACGAATAAAAGTTTAACAAAACTTTGCCGGCAAGCAATTCTGATTTATGAATCCCACATTAAACCATCTAAGTACATCTGTTAGGCACATCATAATGGTGACTCTTTGGGTAATGATTTCTTAGAATCACAAATGATGTATGAATTCTTAGCAATTTAAGTGTTTGAAGGGGCCTGAATGTGTCCTGGGTGATTGCCTATTATACTCAAATCCTAGTTTTATAGTATGGCCTTTGTTCCTTTGTTCCATGCCTCATAATCTGGAATGACAATTTTATGTGTGAGCAAAGCACTGCTACCCATAGGAGGAATATTTCAGCATGTATTAGATAGTGTTTTTAATTTGTGTGTTTTGCAATATATCTTAGAAGAGATTAAAACTACCTTTCAAAAGTGTACAGGAAAAGAGTTTGCCTTTAAGTTTTGGTGTCTGTACATCCTGGTGTTAGAAGAATTGACTTTAGGACTGAGTCTCATGTTTCTCATTCCTCTGACCCCCTTAACTTGGAGCTGCTTGAACATAGTATGCATTTGTTGAGTTCCATGGCTTTATTCTTTATTTCTTTCCCTCTTGGTTCTTTGACTATCTGATGAACCTTTCATGCCTTTTGAAATCCTGCTAGAGTCTGACCTTGTTGAGGGGCAGCTCCAGGTTTGCCTCCTCTAGGTCCTCCCTCCAGCCTTGCTGTAGCATCCACCATAGAAGTGCAAATTCTTACATAGTTCTGGTGGTGGTTCTAGTTCCCACATGGCACCAAACATTATTTCTGGCATAAAGTAACAATTCAGTTGTTTGATGGGACAAACTTTTTTTGCTACTAGAGATTAATTTATATTAGATAAAAATCAAGAGCTAAGATTAACTTCTATTTCTTCTGATACGTGCATATATACATACCTACATGCATGCAAATGAAAGATGATTTAAGTAAACTATAAAGTACTGAAGAACAGTGAGTATAATTATAGGTTCCCTTTTCCCTATGGGCGGGGATGCTGACATGGGCTGTAGGAAGAGACGTGCAGGCACATCACTTACATTTTGCAGCTGGACATGGCTTTTCACCAAGCTCTCTGATTTTGCCATTGTGCTGGATGCTTTAAGACTGTATTTTTTACCATTTTGTGACTCCTTCAGCTGCTCTTTGATTTATTTAGCTTGTTTCCTGCAGGTATAAATATGTGTTATCAGAATTTGCATACTGCTGTGCCCCTCCCCTGACTCAGGCAATGGCAAGGCCCTACTGAGGTGGATGGCGCAAGGCGTCCATCCTCTGGAGGAGTGCAGTATGTTTCTGGGAATGGGCTGATTTGTTTTTGTATTCCTTTAATAAGTATAGTTGTGATTTCTCATATGACCATTAAGTATGAAGGAAAAATCATGACTTTCCCAATTAATGCAACTACTTCTAAAGCATAGAACTGTTTGCTCTAAATGCAATGATTCAGCTGTGGAGTGTAAATTGTTAATGTCTAATGAAAAACTCCCTGTATTCCTGTCAAGGAAGTTTTTGAGAAATTAAATTAAAATCTAGAGAAGAAAAATTAATGTTAAGAAGACAGATTAGTGCTTAGTACTGGGCAACTTGTTCTTGTTCCTGTGCACAATGGTTTGTGCTCTTACTTTTGTTTGATTAAAAGTAATAACAAGTCAACCACTTGCCGTAACCATGGCACCGGTTCCAGTCAGTAAGTCAAGAAAGAATAGTCAAGGTATAGGCCAATAGTTTGGGACATTTCTAACTATTATTAAAAGTTAACTAAGCAGAAACAGCTCAAAGCAAAACGTGAACTGAAAGTACAAATGCTTGCTTATGCATAAGCCAAGATACATTCTTCTATTCTAATTGTAGCTACGTAATATTTTGTTTTTTTGAATAATGATTCCTGTTTTGTAACCACAAAGTACTGTGAGCCTGCCAAAATGAAAAGTATATATGATCAACTTCACAAGTAAAGATTGGGATCAACACCTTCACTTTGGTGTCTGTGTTGTTTCTCCACCGCCTCTTTCGCCAACTCCTCAACATCCGTTCGTCTCCTGAGACCCCCTGTTGGAGCTGGACTCCGACAGCATACGTTTATGGAATCTTAAATTTTGATGTTCATTTATTCCCCATGTCTTTGACATTTGCCAAAGCTAGATGAGCTCAGTTAACAAAGACAGCCCTTCTCTTGTTTTCAACTCCACCAAGAAATATTTCCAATTTAGAGCAAACTTGGTATTATGCATTATGATCCTGAGATTCATAAGCAATGGTGCTTAGGAACGTGATGTGTTGTCCTGGCCTCCATAAATGCAAGAGTTTCCTGATCCTCAGTGCTCACTTTTAAATAATTGGAAATGCTATGGATAAGTGACTAAAGGAAAAATATGAGGCTTGACTCTGGAGGCCATATGTTTTTGCTAAGATATATGTGTAGCCTATATGCATGGCTTGCATACAAAAATGTGTATATTTTCTGTCTTGTACATTTATTATTACCTACAGCCTAAATAATAGTTAATTTTTAAGGAACTAACTAATGATTTCATAGTTAACTACTGGTTTCATTTTAACTACAGGTACCAGTTAATTCATTTTCCACAATAATTCTATGTGATGAGAGGATAACATTATCTCCATTTAACAGATAGGTAAACAAAGGCACAAAGAAGTTAAATCATTTGCCCAGGGTCACAGAGAGTAGGTGGTAGAACATAGCCTTCAACCAAACCACCATTAAGAGATTTACATATCCTCAGCTTCTAAGCAGGGATGCTGAGATTGCTGTAGGTTTTTGGACTCAGAAATAAAGTGATCCTGCATGTACATGTGGAAGGACTGTTGTTTGGTTCATTTGGTGTCTATTCCAGAGGAGTGAAACAAACTCTTGCCTGATTAGCTGCAATCTTCCAGAAGGTTAATAGCAATTATCTATTAGTGTCAGACTTAGTACCCCTGAAAACAACTTTGCAGAATCATCTCCCTGAAGTTCGCCTCTCTCGTGAGTTCTCTGTCAAGGAGACTGGTTGGAAGACAAATATTACCATGAATGTCTCTGTTCTGCTACTACAGGGACTGGAATCTGAAACTGAGCTCTTATCCACCAGCTTGCCACCCTAATAATTATCTAAATGTCTCTGAGCTTCCCTTTCTTCATGTGCAACTGGAGTTTATAAGAGCTACCTTTTCTTCCATGTATATGGTGGCAGCTGAATGTGAGAGGGTATACAAAGTGTTAATATCTTTTTCTTTTCATTGTGCAGCTAGTTTAGTCTTGGGGGAAGATGCTGTGGAGGAATGAAAACATTGCCCAGAGATAAAATATTGTACTAATTGAATCTCTCACAAGTAAGTCACTTATCTTTTCTAAAGAATTTGGAGGTTATGAGCATCATTTTCCCTTTTGAATTTACACTGCCAATGTGTTGGTAGCTGTTTACATTTTTATCTTTTCAATTATTTGGGGGGCTTTTATCTCCAACACTCCTGGTTGCTTTAATCCAGGTGTAATCATCTGTCTGCAGACCATCAGCCAATCTGCAGCCTATTGTTTAAAATGAGCTTATAATATGAGCATTTAAGAAGCACATTGTGGCCACAAAATCCTCTCAGGGATTCATTCAAGAAGAATACAGAAAATCTGGAAATGCCAGCCCACTAAACCACCAAGCAGCAGTAAAAGCCTGGTTGTCATAAAGCAAGGACTCAGTGTCTCTACTGTCTTAATTCTTAGGAGAGTACCTATCTTTTCAGTAATCTCCTGATTCAGAGCCTGATATAAAATACCCCACCGTATTTCATGGATCTTTCTACAATGTGCCTTCCTTTACTACTTCTCACTCAGGTGCTGACTTGGCAATTTTCCAAGATACGAGTTCTTTCATTTCAGAGCCAGCATCTCCTCCCACCCCCAATTCCTCTCCACTCAAAAACACATACTTGTTCCCCCCCCCCTTTCATCTTCCCTTCAGAAAATGGGAATAGAGGAAATGAGCAGCAGCTGAGTGCAATACCAACAGCTCTCTCATGACAACAGTTGCTCTGGGAATGAGGAGGTATTTGTGCCTTGTATCTTGGAATGCCAATAGCCCAGCCAGATCAGTATTGAGACTTTGCTAAGTTTCTCTAACCTAATGCATTAGAAAGAGACGAAACACGTGTTGGGAAACAGAAGACATCACAAGCCTATTGATAGACATTATTTGCAACATCATGGCTAAATTCCTAAGGAAGCAGACCCTGGAGTGGAGATAGTATGTAGGACTCTACATACCATCTTTGGTATGTGCAGCTGTGAAAGTGAAAAAGGGGGAAGAAGACAGGATGGGGCAAAGGGAGAAGCTAGAATGTGATGCAGTCTCCATGGAAACCTTAGCCAACCCCCCAGGAGCTCTAGAGTTGACATGGTCTTATACCCTGAATTTGAAGCAAAGGTGTGGTCTTGTGAGCCCTACACTGATGTGTCATCAGAGGTGGGTTATCTCAGAACAGGGCATGTGACCAAGAAAGGCAGCTCAGGGTCTGAGGTCAAATAGCATATCAGAACATCCTGATGATGCAAAATCTCTTGATGAATAGGTGATAAGCTATAGGAAGAGGCATGTTGCTACTGGTAATACCTTTCCTAATTTTTCCTATTGTTTTCCCAGTTTTGATTACCATCCATTTCAGGTTTTGCTGTCAGGAACTTTTTCTCTCCTACCCCAAATTTAAGTTAGTTAGTTCCAAATTCTACTAAAAACTCCTATAGCTGACATCATCCTTCTTACCTAAGTAAGCTGAAGTAAAGAGAAAACCCTTAACAATTGATAGTTTCCATCTGAATCATATTGGCCATACTTAAATTAATTAATATCTGCATTAAATACATATGGGCTCACTAGAAGTAATGAGAATTCTTTCTACTCTTTTGGCATTGTGGCATTTGATTAATTCCATCAGAAAAATCCTCCAAATTCAAGAAGACATGCTTCATTTCTAGCTCATCATGTTAGCTACCTTCAAAGTTTCAGACATGTTGCTGTAATATTTCTTTTGATGGGGTTGTGCTATGCCACATAATGAGGAAAGGACAAGAGTGGCAAAATCTGAGTGATTATGCAAGGTATAACATAAACAACTCTGAGAAAGAGCTTTGTGGTAAGTCCCAACTCTCACTGGCCAGGATGCTACATCCCAGTTTACCAATGGACTTATTTGGGTACCAGTGATAGGCCACTGAATACTGGAATACTTGTGGGCCATAAACTGGAGTCAAAAGAAAGTATTACATGTAAATAACCATATTTTATGCATGAAAGCAAAGGCTGATCAAGTCGGTGGGTGCCTATTCTGTTTTAGCAAAACATTCCGAAATGTAAACACAAATCCAAGAATTCACAAAAGAAGCCTTTTGCCAGGGTTTTACAAAAATCAGTATTGTTTTCAGCAGTGTGGACTAAGTGGTTGGGGTGGGGCAAGGCATTTCTGTCAAAAATAAAGGAAGACTATGCCAGAAATTATAAGAGAAGGAAATATAAACTCTAGGTCTCTAATGAGAAATGGCATTCCAGTTGGAAAGGCATCACTATTATTATTATGTTTTTTCAAAAACTGTGTCCTGGGTGAGCAGACAGAGGAAAATATTCCAATGAGTACTCTTCCACCCGCTTGGTCCTCTGAGATTCCCATGAAGAATCTGGCATTGAATGGTGTTTCCAATAAATTCCCTGAACCCTCGCTGAGCCCAAGGAACAGATGATGGTCTCAGAGCCTACTGGAGGCCCAGAGAGTGAGACTGACAGCCCTAAAGACAGAAGTTCTTTAGTTATCCAGCTGTTCTCCATTCTTGTGATTACCATAACCAGTCTTTTACTTAAATGTGGTACAACTACAAATTATACTCTAAAAATAAGTGATTAACTGCTTCTTAATAGTAATTTGCTTATTGTTAAATACACTATTTCTTGCTCATCTGCAGTTCTTACCAGGAGACCCTTCTAATACTCTGCTGGGTGTGATTATCCTTCACATCCTCTGGTATATGCTCTTAACTTTGTAGCAATATAGTCTTTAAGTCCTGGAGTGGAAAACTATAGGTGTTAAAAATACTGAGCCATTGTGGAGTATTTAATCTTTCAAACACTGTGCTGTGACCTGTATAGCATTATCCCATTCAGTCTTTAACGTGCTTCTGTAAGGTAGATGTTGTTTTGGTGCATATTTCACCTAAAAGGAAACTGAGGCTAAGAAACTCCCACTGTGGCTGATTGGTGTAAAATCCTAACCACTACAGCCTTGTGACCTCCCTAAAGTGCTAGAGGTTCCACCAGAGAGGAAATCCTAAGTTGCTCTGAGGAGTTTCATCATTTGGAGGACTTTATAATCCAATATGGCACAGTAATTTAAAATAGGTTTTGTCAGTTACACTTTCAAAAGGGTAATTGACAAAACCTATTTTAAATTACTGTGATTCAGAGCCCTGTATCTGCAGTTTTCTACCTTGCTGTTTTGAAAAGTTGATATTTCAAAATAAATTTTAATATTATCTGCTATATTGGATTTGAAATATCTCCCAAAGCTTATGGAGTAAAGGGTTGTCTCCTAATTGATGCTATTAGGAGAGGTGGGGCCTTGTGGAAGGTCTTATGGTCATTGATGCAATGCCCTCAGAGAGGAGAGTGGGACTCCACTCCTTCCTCTTTTTCTCTTTTCCAACATTCAGCTATAAGAGAAACAGACCTCCTCTGCCACATGTTCCTACCATGATGTATTGCCTCAGGACCAAAAGCAGTGATGGGTAATTTAATCATGGATTGTAAACTACAATTCATAAGGTGATTCTATCAGGTATTTTGTTAGAGTAATGAAAAGCTGACTAATACTGTATTTTCCAGGTTGATAAAAAGCACCACTCAGATTGTTTTGACAACTGTGATATAAAGTGTGAAAAGCTCAGTGTGCCTGACAAAGAGTTCTAACTTTCCAGTTCAGGAAGTTATAATTGTCATAGCCATCATATTTCTTTGGCACATCTTGGCTAATAAAATATAGTGTTCTGGATGAGGTCATGGAATAAGGAAAAAGATAGTAGATAAACAAAAATCTACATATATCTGAAAGTATGGATTTTCTATCAATATTATACCATAAATTATGACAGATGCACCATATAGTAATAATAGAGGAAACTGGGTCTAGGCTGTATAGGAATTCTGTGCACTATTTTTATAGCAATGCTGAAATAATTTTAAAATAATGTTTACTGAGTTTGTCATTTATTTTTAAGGGGTAATTATTTTGTTTTTAATTAACATACACAATATGCTGACAGGTATTATATATTTAATCTGGAAACTTATTCATTTTTAGAAGAGCAAATGGTTAGAAAAATATAGTTCCTGTGAAAAGCAATTTCATGTTGGCTTAGATTCCAGACAAGCTGTAGGAGTAAAATCTGAGCCAACTTTTGAAGGCTCAAGAATTGAAAAGGCTAATGTTTTTATCTGCATTTCTTATTTAGAGAAATGATTTAATCTTAACTTAAAATAACTATCAGTTAATTTGGAAAAAAATACATACACAAACACTTTTGTGTGTATATGGATGTATTTTATTCTCCTTTATTAGTCAAAAGTAAGTACCTTCACTTGCCAAAGGTCAAGTGTCTTGGCAAATGAACTTCAGGGCAAATTCAACATATGTATGTCAACTGGTGAGCTAATACACTTTTTTTTTTTTTAGGATTCTTCATATTTGCCTAAAACCTCTATGAGTATCAGGTAAAAATAGCAGGAGAGATTTTTTTTTGTAGTTTCTTTCAGGAAAGGCTAGGTAATGGTTGATAATGTTTAGTGTCACAGCAGTAACTCCCCTGTTTCGAAGTCAGTACTTTAGTGACAGGCAGACACTAAGCCTTTAATTCAGGCAGGTAATCAACTAGTACAAATGATTGCTATGTGCAAAGATAACACCCACTCCCCATACAGACATACACACCCAGTTCACATGCTCCTTGCAGTCTACTAAGAGGTCTGAGTCATTTGCAGATGGTTAATGAACCCATTTGCACAGGATCCCTCTGCTTGGAGCAGAGACTGAGAACATAAAGACAAAGTGCTCTGAGAAATAACCTTTTAACACTTGAGAGAAATGGTCTTACTTGCTTTTGAAGTAGAATGCTGCACAGAACATGCCCACGATGACAATTCCAAAGATGATACATGAAATTGACAGCACCTGCCTTTGATAAACTTCTTCACTCTCTGTGAATGTGAAAAACAGAATTAGAATGGATGCTAGCAGGGCACAGCAGCAACAATCTCCATCTTTGTCTTCCCAAACTGGTAAGGTACTTTCAAAGCCAACGTTTTTGTTCCTGTCATGAATAGGAAAAAACATGAAGAAGTTATTTTGAATCAATTTCTTTGCCAAGTTCTATAGGATAAATGGTTGCTATTTTTTCTTTTCCTGCATCTACATGGCTAAATCATAACTCATACATTGATATCAGAATCATAAATTTCATTATCAAAAGACATTCCATGGCTTTAGGACATATGATTTTGAAACTGTGGTAGGGTCCATAATAATGAGCTGGAAAAATAAATATATATCCATTTGAACTTTCCTGTGCCCCCTTTGGCTTCCAAGATAAAGATGTCCCTCGATGGTTTTCTGAGTTTGATTGTTTCTTGGCTGTCTGCCTCCCATTCATGTTTCTGCTACTATGATTGACATCACTCAGGAAAGAGAATTTACATATGCAAGCAAGTAGTATATCATGCACTCTGTGACCTCATCAATACCAGGGTTCTAGCACAATACAACTCAGCCTCTTTTACCTAGGTTGTAGCTTGTCATCACACAAAAAATAAAAATTTAAAAAAAAAACATTTTACCTTGCAGCCACAATTATTTTATACTCCCAGATTCATTTCAAAATTATATCTAGGAAAATAGTTCTTCCATCTCACCAAGAGTTTTGGGTCCATGCAGACCCCAGCACTATTCAAACATCAAGCACATCCTTCCATGCTCACATTGTCTGTACATGTCATAAAAAAAAATGAAGCCACTTTTCTAACACAAAATTAACTGCATCTGTACCCATTTCTCTTTCTGAACATAAAATACCAGTTCTCCTTGAATTATTCAAACTCTCAACTTTGAATTCCCAGAATATGGACCATCTATGTCAGAATCACAGAGGGAGATTTGTATTTTGTTACTAACAACTATGGCATCTTTGACCTTGTAATATGGAAGTCATTTAAGTGAACATTTTAGGTGTTTCTCCTTCATATTAAAGTTATTCAGGTATAGCACATGCCTTATTTTTAGGAAAGGAATATATTCAAATTATGATGTCATCGTTGTGATGCAAAAATTCTTAACAAAAATTTAGGAAATAAAATCCAGCAAGATATTAAAAAGTTCAGTCCTTCACAACTAACTAGAGTTTATGCAAGGAATACAAGTTGTTTCTGTATTTTAAAATTATTATTTTTTTACCATTTAATAGGTTAAAATTCATTAGTTTGGAAGTTTATGAAAAACTTTAATAAAATCTTATTTCTGATTTAAGCTCAAATACTAGACATAGAAGGCACTCAGCATGATAAAGAAAAGCTTTAAAAATATACATAATTGTGAAAACTGAACATTCTGTTCCTAAGAGCAGGGACAAAAAATAGTACACCCTTGAAAAGAATTTGGAATGGTGGATAGTTAGTCAAAGCAATAAGAAAAGTAGGATTAAATCATTTCAGTTGAGAAAGCTTGATCCTGTTGTTTGTAAAGACATTTTTTTTCATCTATACAGATGGAATCTACAGAAGTGTTAGGAAGCTGAGTACAAAGTTTCAGGATTAAAACATTAAAGTCATATCTGTTAAATAGTGACACGTTAGAAATTGAAACAAAACTATCACACTAGAATTCAAAATTAAAATACATAGTGATAAATTTGATAAAAACATACACAAGTCCTATTAGCTAAAAGATTTGAAATATTACTCGGGGAATTAAAAAAAACCCTAAACAGTCATGTTAATGGACTAAAAGACTCAATTCATCACCTTGGAGAAAATTGATATCTTGAGTACAATCCTATTAAAAATCCCAGAAGGCATTTTGTCATTGTCATTCAAATTGTCCAGCTGATTCTAAATATTATATAGAAATAAAGAATTATGGTGGTTAAAACAGCTTTTCTGAAATCGAGAACAAAGTTATAGTACTTTAGTCCAAGAATTACAATAAAGCTATGTAATCAAAGCTATATGATATTGTCATAATGCTAGACAAAACAGACAAGAGAGTCCAGAAATTATTCAAACATAGATTATTTTTTGCGACTTTTGACAAGTCATTTTTTATAGTGAAAGGATATTTTTAAAATGTTACATTATAATAGTAGAGCCATAGTCAGAAAAATGGACATTAACCCTAATCTCACACAAATATAAACTCAATGAAAAACAAACCTAAATTTTAACGATGAAATCAGAACTATAGGAGGGACTCTTAGTAATTTGGATTCAGAAATAATTTCTTACCTAAAATACAAAAGACAAAGTATGATATGTTTATAAATCAATGGTGTGGACTTCAACATCATTTACATTTGTTCTTCAAAGATTTCATTAACATACAGGCACAGTCTGAGAAAAATATTTGCAAAGTACTTTGCCAACAATAGAGCTGTATCTATAAAAATCTCTTACTACTCAATAAGATGATGATGACAAGCAACCCAATTTAAAAGGGAGAAAAAAATGTCAATATTTAACATGTTTTTATGTCCTTTGGACCAAATATATCAAAAGCTATGGGGAATAATAAATAAGACAAACCTCTCTAAATGCACAGCACTTACCTACATAAGGACACAATTGCAATATTATAGGAAAAGGATGAGAGTAACTTCAGGTCAGAAGACAAAAAAAATGAAAAGATCTGAATAGACATTTTCCCAAAGATATAGGGATAGCAAATAAGTACCTAAAATGATACCCAAAGTAGTAATTATGGAGTTTCAAATTAAATCATATTGTTATAGATGAAATCACTACTAAAACAGCTAATATAAAAGGCTCATCACAGTGTTGACAAGGATATGGAACAATGAGCACTCTAGAGCTTTCCTATACTTTTGATGGAAATGTAAAATGATGTACCAATTTAAAAAATAGCTCCTCAGAAAATTACACACCTACCTTATGATTTAGTCATTGCATTCCTAGGTATTTAATGTTAATAATTTCATAATTATTAATGTTTTAGTTCATTATTATATTAATAAGCATAATTACATATCCAAATATTCATAATAACTTTAATAGCCAAAAACTGGAAATAAGCCAAGTTCCTATTAACAGAGTAGTGGATTAACAAATTGTAGTACATCCATACTGTGGAAAATAGCTAAGCAATAAAAAGAAACATTGATATAAGCAACAATATAGATGAAGCCCAGAATTATGATGAATGAAATAAATCAGGAAAAACAAGCCCATGTTGGATAAATCCAATTACACAAAATTTTAGAAAGTGGTAACTATTCTATGAACAAAGTATGAATGTGATATCTGGGGTCAGGTTTGGGGAAGAGATAACAGAGTGACATGAGGAAGTTTTGCAGACTCACACTTATGGTTTAGTGTCTTAATTACAGTGTTCATCTCATAGGTTAATGGTTACGCCAGATTGTACCAAATTACACAAGCAATATAAACTTTTTAATAAATTAAATCGTGTATATATACATATACACATATTTATTCATTAATGTGTATTCTATTTTTCAAGACTTGTATTGGCTCCTTATTAGACTGACAATACTATCCCAAACCTCTTACACTATCTAAAAAGACTTCAATATGATACTATCTACCTTTTTTTTCCTGACATGTCTAATATTTTAACTCTTTTCAGACATGATACATGCAATTTTATTTTTCCTTCTGGAATATTATTCTCTTCTAAGTGCCACTACTCCTTTGACCCCACATTAAATGTCATTAGCCCCTAAATTAGTGCACTATATAGTAAGCTCCACTGGTTCAGGGGACTGCAATTTTCACTGATTAATTAATTGGCTCACCACTGTTTTCCCAGCACCTTGTACCAAAGTCACATCACTGGCATGCTAAAACTTGTTACCTGAGTCAATCAGATATTTAACATCCTCACAGGGATTCTCTGATTAAAGTAGGGTGAGAATTGATCTAACTCAAGCTAAAAGTTTAAAAGTTAGATTGTTGCCTTTACCACCAAGTCCTCCAAGGCTGCACACAAAAACTCTTTTCTGAATTGAGCACCTGCCAGTGACTCCACCCATTTTAAAATCCAGCCCAGGTTCCTCCTTTGGGGGATCCTTTCCATCCAACCTTGGCCTCCTCACTGTGACTCTGTCCTCCCAAAGTCCTCTTCACAGGACAAAGCTCCATAAAACAAAAATGGTGAAATCATTTGTCTGCAGGCTTCAGTAGATACTGGAGCATGATATACCAAAAGCAGTTATTCTCACTGTTCATGTTCATCTTGGATGGGCGTACTGTTCTCAACATCCTGCATGCCCGCACTGTTGTGCTTGCAAGTTTTATGTTTTGGCCTTGTTTTATTTAGTGCTGATTCCAATCCACAGCTAACAAAAAACAAGTTGTAGGTTGACTCATGGACACAGAATTCCCTAAACCAGGACTTTCAGAGGTTCTTCCAAGATGTACCTAGAAGCTTCCAGAGTCAGTAGAAAAGAGCCAATTATTTGTGATGTTCCTCTACCAGCAAACTGGACTGCAGAAAGTCATTGGGAATTAGGCAAATGGGTACCAGACCTAGAAAACCTGGATCAAAATCTACACAGCTCAAATTCCAGGACCTGTTTTCTTTCTCTGAAACCTCGTACTGTAGCCTCTCTTTAAACAAGATTGCACATTTTCTAGTACTTTATCCTGTTGAAATGTATTGCAATCTAGTGTTTTAGAAATGTTCTCTCAAGTTTACTTCATGTTTTCTGATATTCCAGCCTGAATAAAAACTCAGAAATGGGGATAATGCCTTATTTCTATTAGGCTTTATTTTCATGTTCAGTGTAAGAAAAGAGGCAATTATGGGGCCACAGCAATAATGAGTGAATATTTTAAATTTGGAAAGGTTCACATCAGAGGCTTACAAAATATATCATCAAGTCCTTGTTTAACACTGACATCTTAAAAAAAATCCTCCTTTCTACCCCATATGTATAAGCTCATTAAATTTTCCAATTGAACTTGGAATCAAATAAATAGCTATGCCAATTCCCAAGCCATCCATTTTATTTAATTGTTGTGAGTTGATGACTACAGTGGAATAATCATGAATTGCATGTGACAAATTTCCCTACCCTGTTTCTACCACTAAAAAGGATTTTGAAGATGACAATAGTATCTATTAAAATGAGAAAAAAATAAGACTGTTCCCACTAAAATGAATAATTGATTTCCATGTAAAATCTATGTGGTATGTTTCTTCCTATTTGAAGCTAGTCAAAAGCAGCCTGGGGAAATGGAAAAAAAAATCAATTCTGAGTTTAAATCAAGAGTGAAATTAAAAGCACAAAGAGTGCAAGTGAATTTACAGACCCAGGTGTAGCTAAGGTGATGGACTAATGTGTTTGATTCATGGAGTGTTACCCAAGAACTCCAAGGCAACAAAGGGCTAGGAGACTGGCAGTATTGTATTTCACTTCTGGCCAATTTTTAAAAATTATCTTAGAATACTGGGGTTTGAACCCAGGGCCTTGCATAAGCATGGCAAATGCTCTACTCTATCCCTTTTTATTTTGTGACAGGGTCTTTTTAAGTTTCCTAGGATGGCCTCAAACTTGTGATCCTCCCATCTTAACCTCCCAAATAGCTGGGATTAAAGTTGAGCACTATACAGCCCTTTTACCACTTTTCATATGAGTGAGCACAGTACATTCCTTTACTTCTATAACCTCAATTTCCTCATCTGATTAAAGCAATGTATATATATATATATATAAAATGAATTATCTAAAATAAATGGTTTACTATCTGCTATATATACACTTTAAGAAAACAAAATCTGTCCCCCTGAAACCTGTAGTATTTGGCTTATAAAACACACTCGCTAACTGTATGATGGATGAAATCTTGCATAGGAATCCACCTGTCCTTTTAAACATTTTATTTTAGTAATGATTTCTTAAGGTAGCACCATAGATTTACTATAATTTTCTGGGCTCTGGGTCCAAAAAGAGCTTAACAGTAAGATAAAATGCCTAGTGAGCTTGTTCATGAGCAAGTGAAAAGTCTGTGAATTGGAATCCTATAACAGAAAATGTAAGGGATTAGAATCAGGGAGATCTAAATTTAAATTTGAGTTTTACCATTTCTTATCACTTAAAATTTTGTCTGGTCATTTAACTTCTTTGTACTTTAATTTCTCACTTACCAAATAGGAATGCTAGTACCCTTGTTTAAGGACCTCTGGTATTTCCCATCATAGCATTACACTGATTAACCTGTAGAAACTGTTCAATAAATAGTTTTTCCTTAATAAACTTCTAGAATATAGGAGGAAACACATTCTAAAGTATATCTCAAAGATAAAGCTTCATATTTTTAGCCTTTTTGATAATATCTAACACCACCTAACAGAAAAATTTAGTGAAAGATAAAGCTTAAGTTTAAAGTAAGAAAAATAACCACAAAAGTGAAACTTTGGGGAAATATTTCAAGTCTACTTGTGACAATAGGCATTGGTTAATCATATAGTAGACAAACTCTTTCCTATAGGAACCCCCTCACACACACCAACCTGGTCTAGGGATGCCCTCTGACCTCAGGAAGGAGACATTTTCTCTTTATCCAATCTCCAAAGATAAAGTCTTTATTTTTTTCTCTAAACAAAAGTATACAGAAGATATTAAATGATCAAATTACTCTTACTGTCCTTCCTTTTAAGAGAAATTGATTATTCTTTTAAAATATATATACATTTAGTGCCAACTGTATGCAGACACTAGGTTTGTTGCTAGGAATGAAAAGAATAAATAGGCATAGACGCTCCTGGATGAGCTTCTTTATTGTCTAGAGTACACAGCCCTTAATTAAGTGAATAAAATAGTAAATATGAAAATCTGAGTATAGAACATGTTAGAAGGAGGAAGTATAAAGTGCTTTAGAGGCACATCATATGGGGCATCCACCTCTTCACAGAGTCCAGAGATAGAAAATATAAGGGTCAATTAGACAAAAGTTTTAGGATATTGAGAGTTGTCCAAAAAAGGAAATAACTTATACAAAAGCCCTGAGGTAAACTAGAAAGTGGTATGCATGTTCAGGAATCTGGAGCACAAGCAGCTTAGCAGAACAACAAAGGGATAATGAGGGCATTAATGTCAGCTCAGGTGAGGAATGATGGGTGTTTTAACAGTAGTCACAGTTTTGCAGACAGAAATAAACAGAGGTGAACCTTAGGGTGAAAACACTCAAAGGACTTCATGGTGATGCTCCTAATGGGGGATGACAAACTCAGAATGAGACTTATTGAATTTAACCATATAAAAGATCCAAGGAGAGATGTCTAGCAGACATTTGTATATGTAGAACCATGCTAAGAAGAGGATGTCACCTGTAAAAGTACAGTGTAAGCTACTCTCCCCAGTGCTGCCTTATCCTCTACCACTTCAGCCTGGATTTAGGATCTATAATTTCAGCCTTACTCCAGAAACTGGCAAATACCTTACTTGCAATCTGAGTCTAGGATTGCCTCCATTATAGGAAGATTGCGAAGAATGGGCCGTTTCATACCTAAGGCAGAGTAGCCATTAAATATTAGACTGAACTATACATATCTGGCATTTGGTGGAGTGACGGGGGCAATAAGTTAACGAATATTAGCAATTAGATTTGGTTCTAATGTGTGTTACTATTCTACGGGATGTTAACATTTTTTTGCATTCTGTATTTACAAACCCAGATGTGGTCATTTTTGAGGGCAAGATCAATCTTCAGTTAAATAAAAATCAGAAAAGTGTTTCCTCTGAGTCTCCCAGCTCTTCCAGGGATTATTTCCTTTGCTATTATACAAAGCACTTTCTCCCCTTTGTTTGCATTAATATATTTCACTTTATAATGGATCAAATGAGAGAAGGTAACATTATGGAGAAATTTCAAAAAACAACATTAGTACAATTCTTTTGGCAGGTGACCTGGCTTGGGACTCTCCTTTTCCCTCAGGCCACAGTATACAGGGGGCCTTGTGGTTGGCTGTTGAGTACACCTGGGTTTAAACAGTGGCAATTATCATTTTTTCCCTGAATCATTTTCCTCCCGAATAAAATGGAGAAAGTACTACATACCTCACATATTTGTTTAGGCATTAAATAAGTGAGCACAAAGTATATAGACTAAAATGCAGCATATAATTGATGTACAAAATGACAGGTGGTGGTTGTTTTCTCCTAAAGCCAGTATTTAAGTGAAAACAAAATAAACCTTTTAGATTACTCCACTCCCTTAAGCAAAACCAGCCTTAGCCAGAGGCATTCATTGACTTGCTGACTGGATCTTTTGGCCTGTGCCCTGAGATTTGAATTTAAGGAATTTATCCTTAGGCCACTTTCTTTATTCATTGCGGTTCTCAACTGGTGGATTGGAATTTGCTGCCCACATGTTTTGGAGGATATAATGGAAACAGTCTTCCTTGGAGCACAGGCTCTTTCACCCTTTCCATCACACACGTCCTTTAAAAAGGAAATTGTGCATCTTGTCCCCAGAGACACAGAATTGGAAAATGTGCTGGCTTACATGATGTCTACTAACTAGGCAGCTAGTGTTCACATTCCAATGCACAATGCAGCTTGATGAGAATTCTTCTGGAAACTGAAGCAGTCTTTAGAATGTTAGAAGACTTTCTGCAAGTCTTGGTAAACTGTGGCAATGGAACAAAATGGTCCCAAAAGAAAATCACAGCTGTAGTTCTATGACACCATTTCCCTGTGGAGATAACCATATTGAAGACAAAAAAAAAAATGTGTGTTCATGATGGACAGGAAATTATCCAGAAGGTGTCTCTAAATCTGATCCCCCATCCAGGTATGTGGGCTAAGATTTTATACCTCTTGAGAATATCTCCTTTTTACCACTAATTCTGTCTGTAAGTATAACTTACATAAATCAAGAAATGTAGGGTTTATACTTATACATAAACAC